TTTTGACCAGTTCCCAATGAGACCTTTTAAGTGTATGGATTTAACCACAGCCATTTACATTAGCATGAATTATTTAGTGCAGAAACAGCAGGGGAGTTCAGCTGAATGCCCTCAAACCCGCAGACCAGAATTCTCCTCGAACCCTCTTATAAAAGCTCAAATGTAGAAAAAAATGGCTATTAAATATATTCCACTGATGGGCTGTAATTTAGAGGAGTCATGCGGTGCTTTACATCTGTAATAAAAAACGAATTATAGAGTGCTCAGTGGCAGAGGTTTGCATTTCCACCTGTCAATCACCCGGCAAAGACGTGCATGAGTTTGGTGAACTGGCAATTGTGGATTTTAATAATTTATGCGGGGTTTTTTTTGTTCATTTGAATTCAGTTGATTAAATCTTTAGTACAGTCTACAGTCATAATGTGAAAAGACCAGACTATTCCATTAAAGTCTATGTGACAAAAAACATTAACATATAATTTTTAAAAACCTTACCTAGTTTTGTCAAATATTTCTTTTTATTTTGGTACATAGAGGTAATTCCACAACTCTTTCCTAGAAACTGTACTGTAAACAAGGGCTATAAATCAAACTGAAAAATCCAACTTACTCAATAGATTTGTTAATTAATAATTAAATTGTGTTTTTTCCACATAAATTGTCCCTGCATTTCAGATGGAAGATTCTGTGTTGATGACATAGACAGAGAGGTTACATTTTGAATTCACCGGTACTTCCTGTATTTTTATAGCCTGATTCATCAGCTGGTTTCACTTCGTAGAAACCGTCTGGCCTCACAGCATTAGGATTTGTTTGTTCGATGGTAGGCAGATTTTTTTTTTTATTTAACCAATCGCTGCTATTTGGTTGTGACGTGTATATAATGCGCCAAATCCCAAATAAGAAAGAACTGCAACAACGTCTTTCCTCTTGATAAAATTCACCAAACGTTCTCTTTGTTCCGGCTTTAAATCCTCGATCTCGGGAATCGTTGCCAACACAGAATGTATGGCTTCGTCTACATCCATCTCGACCTCTTTGTTTACTGTTGTGTTGTACCACAAAAGGGACTCAGACAGGCGTTTGAGTTTGACGTTATGGCTTCACAGCTCATCGCAGACTGGCCGGTGCCAGGTCTAGAACTTCCAGGGTTCTTGCAAACTGCCTAGTGTATTTTGATTCCTGACCTAGTCGCTGGAGAGAAATTAAATTTAGTGGAGGCACTAGGTAGGTGACTAGTATTTTTCTAACTTTCTTCTCCAAGACATGGGTTTTTTCATGGTCATTGCAAAACTGATTGTTTAGAATCCAGAGAAACCGATGGCAAATAAGCTCTGTCAGTATTTTATGCTGATACTTTGGGCCAATTTTTATTATTTTCCCCAAATTACCTCATTAGAACTTTACTGAAACTCATCCACAACCTTGTTTTACTACAAAACAGTATAATAGAGAAGTGTAGTCACATTTAGTGCAGAGCCCTCTTCACACAAAACTACTTAAATAAAACTCATACTTATTGTTTAGGCAGGTCGTTGGGCTAAACTTGATATCGGCCTGTGCTGGGCATTTAAGGCCGATAACTGAATCACAAAAAAGGGCAAATATCGGCCCTGTCTCTCTACTTTCTTCTTAATTTTTTTGTCCACAAACTGCCACATAATTGATGTAAACCTATGATGACTATTCACCACAGCTATCATCGCACCAAATCAAATACATAGAAAAACATAAAAACTTCTCATATGCATTTTAACCTTGTTCATTGATGGTCTGGTATGGCTCTGTGTCATTGAGCTGTCCCCACTTACCCCCTCCGTTCATTTTTGTACTTTTTCTTTTCTAACTTTTATTATACTTATTAATTACAGCACATTTTGTTCTCTTTGCAAAAATAACCAACGAAAACTATACATTATCTTCGTATATGCTTTGAACTGAGAGACTTACAATATTTGTTTAGTTGCAATACAGAAATTTTAATTAAGAAACCACCCACAACAGTGCAGCTTCAGCTTGGAATTACACCCTCTTGAGAGCAGATATAAGATTTACACACGGTCCCTAAATTGTTGTTGGCAAATTAAGTCATGAATCGTCCTCTGTGAAAATAAACAGTATATCTTGAGTATAAAAACTACAGCTCCTGGCAGATGAATTCCTTATTAAAATATAACCCTGCTTTGAATAGCAAGTAGGTAACTTCATAGAGGACATCGGATGTTTCATTGTACTTTTTGTACTTTAATATGCATAATTATTCAAGCTTTCCTTTAGTTAGTGGCATTTCACTTTTTGGAAAACATTTTATTTTTATTGTAGTGTTTAAAGGTCCTATATTAATGCGTTATGGGAAAGTGTTCTTACAGGAGTTATTCGGACCATGAGTGAAGTAGTTGGTGCTTAAGAAATAAGACTGAACTGCTTTCATTTTGAGTTGGTAAAAATCAGTCAAGAAAACCCATGGACTCTGAGTTGTAATTATTAATGTGCACAACATTTTGTAGTCAGTTTTTTACCACACTCACAGGTGTATATCTGTGGTTATTTGGCATGAGCTTTGTTTTTGAGCTATTACCAGTCATATTCGGAAGTGGTGAACTGGCGATATACATTCACTCGTTGTGTGCAGTGGAACAGGTCTCAACAGTTTTATGTGTTCTGAATCTTTCACAGCAGTGATGAAACGTGTAGCCTGCGTCTGAAGTCCTAGATAAATGTGAATAAGAATGTAATGAATCTGAGCTCTTAACACGTTATGTCCTGTCTCCTGTCCGGCCCTTCAGTCAAACTTTAGGACCCTATGTGGCCCGCGAGCCAGAAAGTTTGCCCACCCCTGACTTAGTCTGTCTACATCTCCAAAGTTCTCACCTTGTGATGTCATGAAGCGGTATTTTTAAAATGAACAGCTACCTTTTAACTTTAGTTCAACAGAGAAGGTGCATGGAGTTTAAAAACACAGTGTAGCACTTTGTGTATTACCACATGACATCACAAGGTGGTACAGAGTAGGGGTGTGCAAAAATATCAATACATCGTATCGCTTAATATAATGATACAGTACTGATATCGTGGGCTGCTGTATGAATATATGGGCAAGAGTATTTTTTGGTATATTTTACCAAATTATTTTGTTACAGCCTTACAGTTTTGTAGCCAGGCTGGGGTCACGCCGCTCAATTTCATTTCCCTCCAGTGACTAGGTCAGGAATCAGAATACACTAGACGGTTTGCAAGTAACTCCGGGCAATCAGCAAAGAGCTGTGAAGCCATGACGTCAAACTCAAGCATCTGTCTGGGTCCCTTTTGTGGTACATCACAACAGTAAACAAAGAGGTCGAGATGGATGTAGACGAAGACATACATTCTGTGTTTGCAACGATTCCCAAGATCAAGGATTTAAAGCCGGAACAAAGAGAATGTTTGGTGAATTTTATCAAGGCGAAAGACGTTATTCTCCTTCTTCCTGTGGGATTTGGCACATTACATACGTCATGACCAAATAGCAGTGATTGGTTAAATAAAAAAAGTACCCACCTACCGTCGAGCAAATAAATCCTACTGCTGCGAGGCCCGGCGGTTTCCACAAAGTGAAACCTGCTGATGAATCAGGCTAACAGTTTTGTTGCTTGTTCAATGAAAACATATTCCTTGTTTTGATGATTTAAATGGATGTGTTTCATAATAACTTTGTACAAGAAGTGGTTCAACAAAGACTTTTATTCATTTAGCCTTTGTTTTTTATTGAACCGTATCGAATTGATTTGAATTATATTGTACTGAATCAAAAGTGCACTGTATCGAGATAGGTATCATATCATGGCCTATGTATCGAGGTATGTATCGTATCGACAACTTCTTAATGATACCCAGCCCTAGTACAGAGTATTTTCACTTTGAGAGACGAACGCTTGAAGATGCAGGGGTTGTGTGTAAAACATGTGTAAATGAAACAAACGCAACTCTAGGTCTGTCTGTGATGAAGAAACAACATTATAACATAGATCTAAAATAGTGCAGCACGGGCTCTTTAACTTACATTTATATTGACACTTGAAACCCACCATGACCTCAAAGAACCCCCTCCCTCCCACCAACGGACAATTTCCCAGAAGCCTCAGCAGCGGAATGGTCTGATAAAGGATGGAACCAAGTGTCCACTCACACACATGTAGTACACAGGAGCAGAGAGGAGTACAATTGTCAAGCATTCAAAGTGCGCTGCTAAATTTAAGATGTTGCTATGCCGATGCTCTCCCTCTGACCTCAGTGAAAACAGATCCCTTTGTACCATAGCATGAATAGAATTTCTTTGCTGCCAAGTTTAAAGTGAGGATGAAATGTAACAGAAGTAAGAAAAAAAGTATATAGAGAAAGACCAACTGTGGACAAAGTGCGTTAATAGAACCGTTGACAAGCATTGCACGGTGTTGGAAAAGTTTGCGATATGGCTGTTAAGAGCTGCATTTTTGATATTTTTGCTATGTTTTATGTTTTTTAACTCAGTAATTTCAGTTCTAATTAAGCATGAAATTACCTGTTTTAATGTATTACTGAAACTAATTTTGGATTTGTAAGGAAAATAATTAAAGGTCCTATGGTACGCAAAAGTTACTCTTTAGCTTTAAGAAATATTAGAACACTGTTACCTCTTCAAAAACTGACCTGGAGCTGTGTTTTGTTTCATTGACACGTGTTTGAGTAATCTTGGTTTATTAGTCTGTCTTCATCTCCAAAGCTCAAAATGCTCTGTTCCACCTTGTGATGTCATAAAGTGGTAGTTTTCAGATTACCAGCTACCCTTCGCCATAGTGCATTTTTTCTTTTCTTTTTTTTCAGATGGAGAACCTTGGTATTATTGTGATATAGTTTGTTACCGTAGTGATAATTCCATCAGCCAATTTTGCAGTATCATTACTTATACATTATGAAGCTCGACCATTGACCTTGTGTAACCTTCGTTATTAAGACTATAACTGTTATGTGTATGTTTCCTCCAGGCACCAAACTGGGCCCAGAGGCGTTCAGATTCGACAGTGGAGCTGAAGCCACCGCCACCAGACTGAGTGACAGATATTATATTCTCCGGCCAGAGGTCATCGAGAGCTACATGTACATGTGGAGACTCACGCACGACCCCAAGTACAGAGAGTGGGGCTGGGAGGCTGTCCAGGTGAGACACACACTCAGAACTGTCTTATGATATATTATTTGGGACTACACTATTACTACTATTACTGTTACTGCTACTATTAGTACTACTACTGCTGCTACTGCTGCTACTACTAATGATGCTACTACTACTGCTGCTGCTACAACTGCTTCTACTACTACTGCTACTACTACTACTGCTACTGCTACTATGACTACTATTCCTGCTACTACTACCTACTACTTCTACTATTACTGCTACTACTACTGCTGCTGCTACTACTACTATTGCTGTTACTACTACTACACATACTCAAAACTGTCTTATGATACATTATTTGTGACTAAACTATTACTACTATTACTGCTACTGCTAATATTGGTACTAGTACTACTACTAGTACTACTAATGCTACTGCTACTGTTGCTGCTACAACTACTACTACTACTGCTGCTACTACAGCTGCTGCTGCTACTACTGCTACTACTACTACTGCTGCTACTACTGCTACTACTACTGCTGCTACTACTACTGCTGCTACTACAGCTGCTCCTGCTACTACTGCTACTACTACTACTGCTGTTACTACTGCTACTACTGCTACTGCTACTACTGCTTCTACTACTGCTGCTACTACTGCTTCTACTACTGCTGCTACTACTGCTACTACAGTTGCTGCTACTACTATTGCTACTACTACTACTGCTACTACTGTTACTATTGCTGCTTCTACTACTACTACTACTACCACTATGTATTACAACATAAATAGTTTCTCAGGTCATAAACAATGTGATACAGATTTTTTTTTAAAGCATTTTAAACATCGTCGTCATTTGTAAAGTAGGGATGCACGATATAATGCAGGTGTATATCAGGTCCAAAATTCAAATTTTTGATGGATCAGATATGGGTTCAGTCGATATCCTATTATTTTGGGATATACATTTGTGTAATAAGACTATTTACTGGACAATGTTGGCCCAAACACCTTGTAATATTTTAAAATGTTAAATAACAGATTTTTTTTTTTTTTTACCATTTGCTGTGTGTGGAGTATGGAGATGTTATTGCTTTGCCTGGAATGTTCCGCACTATGACATGAAAGTTATCTATCTGACATTTATTCAGGGTTTTTTTTTATTGCTCAGTAATGTCTTTAAAAAACATTCTGTGTGTTAGTGTGAATGGAGTTGCTGCTCCACAAATCTGACCTGTAACCTGGCCTAATGGGGCATAGTTACAAGTTACAAAGTGTACCTTTTCATGCACTTTTTTGGTAAGTGATCTGTGTGCACTGTCAGAGAAAGGTAGAAAGGTTTTATTCAGTATCTATTTATCTGAAAGGTAGAATAAAAATGTGTGTGGTTTTTGGTTTGGAGTGAGTGGTGAAATAATGCTTTTCTGCTTTGGTGGTTAATAAATTTACTTTTACGGCAGGAGATCGGACAAGGGACAAATCGGGCACTTCAAAATGTAGTCCCTTCCAGTGACGAGTCCATTCAAGGCCCCGCCATAAATCGCTTTTTAAAACCTTTACACAACATCAGGGCCATGCTTCTTGTTACTATGGCAAAATCTATAACATAATACAGTTTATCTATCAGAAAATGAAATGTGGCCAGAGAAGATTCTTCACTATATATATGGGGGAAACAACAGGACTTCAAATGAACATTGATACATTTTTGTTCATCGAGACAGGACTGGACTTGATTATTTTGTGTGGAGACAGGAGTGGGTTGTGGAAATATTTAATTTAATTTGTATTTTTTAATTTTACATTATTATTATTATTATTATCAGTAGTAGTAGTTGTCGTTGTTGTCGTCGTCGTATTTATTTATTTCATTTTTTACACATTAAAAATGTATTTTAAAAAAATAATAATAATAAATTTGCATTGTGTAACTTTTCTGGTGGATTGTCAATCAGACGCTTTTCTCCATGGAGATGTTATTGCTTTGAATGTTTCACAGTATGGTATTCAAACTTTTTAACTCCATGGAGACCAAACCGGATCAAGTTACCAGTCAGATCTGTGGAGATGCGACCCCGCTCACAGTCAGAATGTTTGTTTTTTTCTAGGTATTTTTGAGCTATAAAACCATCTGTAATTGAATACATGTTAAGTAGAGCTGTTTAATTTCATACTGTGGAACATTCCAGGCAGAGCAATTGCATATCCATCGAAACAAGCAGGTGACGGACCCCCAACCAAAAAGTTACATAGTGCAGCTTTAAAATCAAAAGTTTAAAAAAAGAACAGACAGATTTATAAATAGACGTAGATCCATTCACCCCCTCAATTAGCTTGTACCTGCTCTAGAGATATTAGCTGGCGTTATAGGTTCATTTGTGCCAGAGGAGGTGGAGTTCACATATGAATCCTATTATTAGCGTAGCATCAGACGGGAGCGTGTTAGCTTAGCATTCAGTCAGAGGAGAGCTGACAGCGGTGACATGTGTGTAATTATAAAACACAAAGGTGGACAGAGGTACCAGCCGTTCCCCCACATCAACACAGGGACCTGACACGCCTGGGCCTTTGTTAATGAACGTGTATAAGCCAGCCTTTTGTATCAGGGCTAATAATGCGCTTATCCGCTCGGCTAGCGCAGACACTACAGCTGCTACTACTGCTATGGTCACGTTTTTCTATAGTGCTATTCCATCTTCAAGGCACTCAAAGCTCTTTATAACAAGGACCCACTCACACACTCGCACACACATTCATACACCAGTGTACGCACACACTAGGGACGAGGTGGATTAAGTGCCTTGCCCAAGGATACAACGACAGCATTCATCTGTGGGAGCTGGAATCGCACTGCCAACGTGTGGGTTAGTGGATCAGACTACTGTTGCCCGCTGAACTACTACTACTACTGCTACTATTACTGCTACTGCTACCACTAATGCTACTACTACTACTACGGCTACTATTACTACTGTTACTATTACTGTTACTGCCACTACTACTACTACTACTACTACCGCCACTATTACTACTGTTACTATTACTATTACTGCTACTGCTACGACTACCACTTCTACTAGTATTATTACTACTGCTAATACTACTAGGCCTACTGCTACTACCATTACTGCTACTACCACTACTACTGCTACTGCTACTAATAATGCTACTAGTACTACTGCTACTGTTACTACTGTTACTGATACTACTACTACTACTGCTACTACCACTACTGCTACTGCTACTACTGCTACTATTACTAATACTTATGCAACTTCTACTACGACTATTTCTACTAGTAACTACTACTACTCCTACTACTATTACTACTACTGTACTACTATTTATTTCAGTATAAAAAACTGCAATACAAAAAAACTACTACTACTACCGGGCCTGTCGACAGTAATTTGGGAGCCTGGGGCACAACACCTCACATGGGCCCCCCGCCCTTGTCATCTCCTCTGACTACTACTACTACTTCTACAACACTACTTATTTCACTTTAGTTCTTGTTCAGAGTCTGTGTTGCAGGTGTCTAAACTGTGTAGCTAACAAAACTTATCAGAAAGTTAGTTGTATGCTGTAAAAAAAAAAAAAAAAAAAGCTCTGAATGGAAATGAAAATAGTGTCATTTTTTTTAGCGAAAACATAAAATCAATAAAGCAATTTCCGAGGTGGGAAGTAAACACCAGAAAATAGTGACGCTCCTAAATATATTCAGCAGGAATCCTATAAAAATGTTCCTCTCTAGAAACATATTCTTTCACCAAAATCCACAAAAACGTTTTTCAGCATAAATGACAAGGAAAAGCATCTGAATCACAACTCCCACTCTGTCTTCACACTTCCAGTCCCCTGAGACTGGAAATACAAACTTCCCTCACAAACAGTAAAACTTACCATCTTAAACACATAAAACACCATTAAGCACACTGTATCTACTGTATGAATTTTATGATCGAGTTTTAAGCCATGTGAAAGACATCTATCTGTCTCTGTGGGGAATAGGATCATGGACAATAAAGTTTCTCTTATCTTAAACGTGCACAATATAACTTGTCTGGTGGTGTATCTGACAGCTACTTGTCTCCAAGGAGATGTTAAGCGAATTAAGCGAATGTGTTTTTTTAATGTTCCGCAATATGGTGTTAAACAAATCTTTTACATATTTTTATTGCTCCAAAATACCCTTCAAACTTTTCTTTTTACACACAGAGGCAGCTTAATTTTGTATTATTATGTAATTGTTTAACCAGGATAGTAATTGTCCCTGCATTTCAGATAGAAGTTTCTGTGTTGATGACATCGATGGAGGGATTACGTTTTGAAGTCACCGCTACTTCCTGTATTTTTGTAGCCTGATTCATCAGCCGGTTTCATTTTGTGGAAACCACCTGACCTCGCAGCATTAGGAATTATTTGACAGTAGATGGGTACTTTTTTAATTTAACCAATAACTGCTATTTGTTCGTGACGTATATAATGCACCAAATCCTGTAGGAAGGAGGGTAATAACATCTTTCCCCTTGATAAAATTCACCAAACATTCTCTTTGTTCCGGCTTTAAATCCTCAATCTTGGGAATCGTTGCCAACACAGAATGTTTGTTTTCGTCTACATCCATCTCAACCGCTTTGTTTACTGTTGTGCTGAACGACTAAAGAGACCCAGACAGGCGCTTGAGTTTGACGTCATGGCTTCACAGCTCTTCACTGATTGGCTGGTGCGCGGTCTACAACTTCCGGGGTTCTTGTAAACTGTCTAGTGTATTCCGATTCCTGACCTAGTCGCTGGAGAGAAATTAATTTGAACGGAGGCACTCGGTGGGGGCAGCTTGGCTAGATAGTTAACACCATACTGTGGAACATTCCAAGCAAAGCAATAACATCTCCATGGCATGCTCCTAGCCTAACTTGACAGATGTTGACAGTTCATCAAAACTAGAAATAGTCATACCAGAACATTATCTAAAACCTGGTACCACTTACCTTGTTTAAAGGCGTAAAGATTTTTTTGTGTGTTTTTTCTTATACTGACAAATTTCTATATTCTCTTTACTGCAATCATTTTCTAAAGCCTGTTAAAAGTATTTCTTGTATTCCATTATGTAAAATTGATTCTTGTGAGCTTTAAGACATGTTATAATACTGGTACCTCATCAAAAACATACCTGGAGTTGTTTTGTTTCATTTACATATGTTTGAGTAATCCTTTATTATTAGTCTGTCCACATCCCCAAAGCTCAAAATGCTCTGCTCCTCCTTGTGATGAAGCAGTCATTTTCAAGTTAACAGCTACCTTTTACCTTTTGGTTGTTAGAGATAGGCAATTCCAGGGCTTAAATAATCAAAATTACTCCAGTGAAGATGTATGTGTTTTAAAAACACAGTGTAGCACTTCTGTTTGAGAGAAGAACTCAGCCTAAATATGTAGGTATTTGTGTGTTGAACATGTGTGAATGGAAAAAAACACAACTCCAGGTATATTTGTGAAGAGGAAACAACATTATAACATAGATCTGAAAACAGCATAGTATGTGCCCTTTAAGAGCATATAATTCCTCTGTATTGCACCCACCTCAGCCCTTTGTTCAATGTATTCCCTTGTTTTTCCCTCAGGCCCTGGAGCAGCACTGCAGAGTGGAGTCTGGATTCTCGGGGATCAGAGACGTGTACACCACTACCGTGAGCCATGACAACATGCAGCAGAGCTTTTTCCTCTCAGAGACCCTCAAGTACGTCCCATCTCTTTTCACCAAATCGCTTTTTTTCCACCACATCTGCACTAAACGCTTATCTTCTCCAATACTGTCTCCATAACCATCTCTTCTCACCACTCATCCGTGCCTATATGCTGTTCTGCGCTCTTCATCGGAAACCCGCCACAATTTCAGCACAATTTTCCTTCCTCTAGTTGGAAATGAAAAATATTCTCCTCAAACACTGCAGTGCCTACAGATGGGCTGATAGAAGCTCGCCTCCACTGCAGGCAATTACGTGACGCAGATCTATCCGTGTGCACTGTTCGGACTACAAGTAAATGTTAAAGAGCTTTATTTTAAGGCCACGATGAGACAGGATTCAGGCTTTTAGCAGCAGCCTGTACGCAGCTCCAATTTGCATCTGCATTAACCTCAAACTGACAATCACCATAAAGTAAGAGGCTCTGTGTAGAATCATTTAACGTATGTAACCAGGCAGAAGGCGGAGGAGGGAGTTAAGGCACTAGTCTTGTGAACATTTTGTATTTAAGTTGCTTATATAAAAAGGTTTGATTGAACTGTATTAAATAATGTACATGTTATAAATGAATTTCTCTCACAATAGTAAACCTGGAGACTTTAAAGGCCCTGTATTAGGCAAAATTGACTCATGTGAGATTTAAGAATGGTGTTACTTCCTCAAAAACATACCTGGAGTTGTGTTTTGTTTCAGTCACACGTTTGAGTAATCCTGCACTATTAGTCCCTGAAAATGCTTTGTTCCATCTTGTAATGTCATATAGTGGTAGTTTTCAAGTTAACAGCTACCTTTTACCTTTTGTTTAGTAGAGATTTGCAAATCCAAGCCTGAATTCATCCAGATGATTCTAGTGAAGGTGTAAGGAGTTCAAAAACTCAGTAAAGCACTTCCTGTATTGCTGCATGACATCACAAGGTGGAACATAGTGTTTTCCACTTGAGAGAAAAAAGCAGGATTTGTGTGTTAAACATGTGTAAATGAAACCAAACTTCGGGTATGTTTCTGATTAGAAAACATTACAACATAAATCAGAACACAGTGTAATACAGGCCCTTTAAATTGTAAAAGCAGTTATAAAATATGACAGTTGTGAGACAGTGTCTATAAACAGCGATGCTAATCTCTTAGAAGACACTGATGAGACATTGATTGTTCGTATAGTAAGCTAATTTCCTTCAGTATTTTATCATCACTTAGCATGGGTAATTAACTCTCATGTCAGGACTGTCACTTCAGCATTTTTGGGATGCCTCTGCACAAGATAAATATCTGCTCTGGAAAATAAATGTCCTCATTTTTGCCAAATGGATGACGGCCAGAAGAGAGATTTCCACAATGACTCTGTTCAATAAAAGTTATTGTGGATCAGAGACGAGGCGGCCCCTCTCAGATCCAGTGCACCTGACAAGTGAGAATATAGAAAACGGCGTGCAATAAAGACGTGTTTGAAAGCTCATTTAAATGTACATACAAGTTGAGCTCTTTTACATATTACTGTCTCTATTCCCTGAGGCGCTGGTGTCATGGCAGTACTTACCTGCACAGGAAGCCTTTGAAATGCATATGATGTTTGTTTTTAAATTGCCTGATTTATTTTATATTTTCTATGAGAGAATCACTTTCTCACAGTAGAATCACAGTATGTAAACACTGAACAGCATAAGTGAAACTATGATTCTAAGGTTGATTTAATTTCCTCTGTCTGTGCAGGTACCTGTACTTGCTGTTCTCTGAAGATGACCTGCTCCCCCTGGAGGACTGGGTGTTTAACACAGAGGCCCACCCTCTGCCTGTGATCCGCAGGAGCTGTCAGCAGAGTCATGTGACACAGAGCGGCTCTCAGTGACTGGATCAGGACAGGACTCACTCAGACCTGGGCTCTGTCAGGACTCTATGGTCCTCTGCAGTCAGGGCCATGGTCCATACGCTGTGATTGTATCTCCTCTGGCCACAGATACCTCTGCTGGCTCTTCTTTTTGTGGACAATCAAAACAAACTTTCATGAAAAGAGCACCTTTTTCTTTCCTTCTTTCCTCTGTGAGGAAACTGTACTGCAGACCCAAATGTATGGGAGGAGGCTGTGGGCCATACTGTTAGAGACATAGAACCACTTGAGTTTGGCTCTTTGATTTGAACCCTCTGTTAATCTGATGAATGATTTTCTTAGACCTTTCTTGGCATTTCCTTTGTGAGTACACTCTTTGACCAAAGGTTTCTTTGCATCTATTCCCCTGTTTCTAGTAATGTGTTTGGTAAGGTTTAACAGGTAGTAAATGACTGATGTGTACTAAATATTGAAAATGTACAGACTCAATGAAATGTGAATCCCGGATCCACCTCCAAACTAATGCTGATGTCATGTTTCTCTGAAACAAGCTTGAATGAATTTTTAAAGTTGTCAGGAAAGCGGCAGTGTCTTATGCATCCAGGGACCATTTGAATATTGTTCAGTTGCATTTCCACTGTATGCTTGGTTACTTATTCTCGCTTTGCCTTTCAAAGTGATGAAGGGGCCATGTGTGCGAGCGGACCATAGTACAAGTGTAAGAAAAGGAACACAGAATGAGAGCTCTGGCTGGAGGGCTTTTCCATGTCTTGTATTTTCCGCCTCACCCTGAGCCTTTAGACTTCGCGGGGCTGCCACTGTGGAGTCCATCTCTTCTGTTGTCACTGCGCGTGGAGCGAATGTACATACTGACCCGGTCTGAGCTTGTCTTCATTTTGTGATTCTGTTTTTTTCTCAAATTCAGTGGACATTTTGTTTCGGGGTTCTTTTATGATTTGCTTCCCTCAGGTGTTTTCGGTAAAGATTTTCAGTCTAGTTAATGCTGATATTAATTAATGTTATTCTTACTGTTTGATTTAACTTTCACTGTTGAATATTTTCAAATACTGATAAAAGATCTGTGCAACTTTGTACATTTAATCTGTTGTCCTGTGATTCTTCATCACATCACTGCTCAGTTTGAAGCAGTTGAAATCAGGTCTGAGTCTGAGTCTGTGTGTATCCACCTGTGCTGACTGAGGACAGAGCCTGATAACGCCTCATTTGCTGCTCACATTTGTTTCGATGTTTGCTTGCAGGAAGTTCATTACAAATTTAATTAAAGAGGGCGTCTCGGGTTGGAGAAAGTTCCAGCAATCAGCCACAGAAAATGACTAACGGACTTCGGCCATTGCACCACTCTCTCTCTCTCTGTGTGTCAGAGCAAAGTTAATGTCATTGGAATGGTCATTTTAACACATTATAACTTCAGGAACTTCAGGAAAAAAGTTACATGATTGACACTCACTGGTAAATTGAGAAATAGATTGAAATGTCCGTTATTCAGCCTCTATTTTGCCTTTAAGAAGAACAACCTGTCCATTTATATAGGACAAGTGCCTATTAATGTGCTTGTCAAAAACAGCTTTTACAATTTTTTGTCATTTTGATGCATTTCAACATTTCAGCATGCAGCAGTGTTTGTGGGAAACTTGTTTTGGCTTAGTAATTGTTATAAAATGTTGATTTACAAATGGAAGGGTTGTGCGCACTGTTGGGAAGTAACTGAATACATATACCAAGAATATCTGAACACAAATATTGAGTATCTTTAGTTACTTTCATTCGGTGGTATGTCAGAATGTTACTTTTCTAAAATCAAAGGAATACATTGTTGTGCACACAATTTAGGCTTCAAACTGCTTGATATATATAAAGAAGATTTTTCCTTCTCCAATTAGTGATAAATAAATGTGCAATAAACATAAAGCAGTTGTAATCCTAAATAAATACTCAAATATAAAAGTATTATTAGGATACTCTGATTGAATCATTCAGATCAATTGTCACGATCAGAATGCGTTACAAAATACATTTTAATGAAGGTATTTAGTATTCTGTGTCTAAATACATTTTCAGAGTATTCTTGTCATAACTGGTTGTGGATGCTGAAGTTACTGAGATGTTACTAGATGTACTAGATTGAACCAACAACTTTTGTATTTGCGGATGGGTGAACAACACTACCACGGACCAGCCCCCCTCACTGCTATTTCAAAATGATGTATAACTTGCCTGAAAATGTGCATTATGATAAAAAAGGAAGTATTTAACAGCACTGGATATGATTGATATGACTGATGGATGATATGATTACTGTGGCCTCATGGATGGACTGCCTTACTTTAAAGCACTCCAAGTGAATTCCTCTGGACCAGCTCAGACACCGCGCACACACAGTCAGCAGGCTCAATGTCATGACTCCAAAGGGGGGTCAAACAAGGTGATGATAATGTCATTTTAAAATAATATCAGTAGGATTTAAAGTTGGAGACAGACCCTACCATAACGTTTTTGTCTTCCTCCTGTTTTTATAGATATACGAGAGTCCTCAGAAGTTTCTTTGGATACACCAGGTTTTGAGATGACAGACACAGTAAAGCCCCAAGGTAAAGTGCCTAAAGCATTGTTTCCCAAAGATGGGGTCGCAAGAGATTTTAAATTTTTTTTTTTTTTTGAGTCGCCTTGTCACAATCTTTATGTAGGCAATATACATATACATACATCTCTCTCACTTTTTCTCCGTGCACAGAATCTCCGCATACCCCGGTCCTCACTTCTTCTCTGTGCACTCCCGCTCCTCTTTCAGCAGCACCACCTTCCCTAACCAGTTTTCTGTGGGAAACACTGATTACTGTGTTTCCTCATTTAAAACTTCAGTACCATATTTTTCGGACTATAAGGCGCACATAAAATGCCTGAAAATTTTTCTGAAAAATCAACAGTGTGCCTTATGTATAATTTTGGTTGTGCTTATTGACCTCAAACCGATTTTCACATATATTCCACTGAGTCCTGTTCTTTAGTCCGACAGAAGCTGACGCATCAGCGCACAAGGAGAGCTGTTTTTTTTTGTTTTTTTTAATTGCTTATAGTTTACGCAAATTAGCGCTGTGGTTTTAAGTTTTGTTTCTGTAAAACGTAACAAATGTGCACAAAGCTGCATTAAACACATTATTACTCAATCTATAGTTGAATCCTCCTTGTAGGAAATAAAAAAAGTCTCAAGTGTCGTCCGTTTGTTTCGCTTAATTTGCTTTATAATCCGGTGCACCTTATGTATGAAAATACACAAGAGAATTCAACATTATTGATATTGCGCCTTATAATCCAGTGCACTTTATAGTCCACAAAAATACAGTAATACTAATTGTTCAGAAAGACACAATCACTAAGTCAATAATAAAATATCCTCATTAATGTTCAATAATGGTCATTTGGTATTTTGTGATTTACAAATAATGTCTGTTGACTTGGGTCGCGAAGATTTGTGTCTTTTAAAATATGGGTCCTCAGAAAAAAAGTTTCAGAAACATTGCGTTAAAGGGTCGATATTATCCCATTTTCTGATCTACTTATAATATTGTTTCCTCATTACAAACATACCTGGAGTTGCGTTTTGTTTCATTCATACATGTTTGACACACAAATCTTCATATTTAGGCTGAATTCAAGCAGAAAACACTCAACCTTGTGATGGCATGTGGTAATATAAGAGGCGCTCCACTGTGTTTTTAAACTCCATACACTGTCACTACAATTATTTGGATAATTTCAGTGCTGGATTTGCCCATTTCTACTGAACAAAACATAAAATTATCACATGGTGGAACAGAGCATTTTGAGTTTTAGAGATATAGACAGATAAAAATGTACAAATGGCAAAAAAAAAAAAAAAACACAACTCCAGATATGTTTTGAGAAGGTAAGAGCATTATAACATGGCTAAAACCTCACAAGAGTCAATTTTAGTAATTGAGTAATTTTGTTTTGCCACTTTCATGTGGGTAACCAGGGATAGTGCAATACAAGTGATGTAAAAATAAACAACCTTGGAATAACATTAACACTGTGCTCTTGCAATAGACAAGTTTAAAGTGGGAGTGAAGACATAAACCAACGCCCACGACCACATTTTAAATAGAGCTGCTACGCTGAGAATTGCCTGTGGATTAAAGAAGAGAGTGAGGGTGGAGGGGGGACATTTAAGGAGTATTGTGATTGGTCTAACAGATATCCATATGTCAAACTCTGATGTATTTGCCGATACCAAGTCCCGATCTGATACTTCTATAAAACATAGCAAAGAATAAGATCCAGGATGTACGGGGGATCAGATTGTATTGATTTCAGTGTGTAATATTAGGGCTGAACTTGTGAAAAATCAAATGTCCAAAACATTCATTTTATTAACTTTTCTAACCATTCATCATCACTGTTGAAAATCTTAACTTTTACCACAGTATGGTCTTGGAATGTGTAACTTAGCAAACTTAATGAACTGGACAAAACAGGAATCAGACCAGAATCAGATCAGACCTGAGACTAGACTCTGCACAATCTAGAGTTTGTATATTTGATATTATATGGAAGCCTGTGCATTATATTTGAAACATTTAGGCTCGTCTATGAAATCCAAATCATACAAAATCTTACCAAATAAAAATGACTTGACAGAAGCCCCACAGCCTCTCTCCCCCGGCCGCCACCACTCCCCCACACCGCCACCACATCCACAAACCCACCGCGGAGCACGCACCACAACATCGGTCCCACCGTTCAATAAACACTCCACGTCACTGTTCCCACCCTCCCCGCCAAAAGTGCCAGCTCTGCAGCTCAACGTGCAAACAAACAGCGCCGTGTGACAACGCCATCGGCCGTGCAGATGTGAACACAGGCCACAGAACCCCAGGTAACAGCGCCCAGCACAGCATGGCCCAAAAGTCACGCTAACTGGATGTCCCTGAGCAAATTCCGTGAGTCCTGTGTGCGCTGTGTGTTATATACTTATATTATTTATTCGATACCTGGTCGGAACATAACTTCCGAGTCCGGATCGAGTTCGCAGTCACGTGATCGGCGCCGATTTCCAATCACATGATCGGATCAGGACAGCCCTAGCTATTTTTAATCAGAATCATCAGGCTGTACTCAGAGCAGTCTTGTGTCATGTCACCAAGTACTTGAAATTGCAGAAGATGGAGAGATTTAGGCATTTTTGAATCTAAAGCTGACCATATACACACTTTAGCAGTGAAAAACAGGTGTATTAAGTGTTAAGCTTCACTTTAAGTACATTAAGTAAGTTAAATGTAACTGTTAGTGGTCTTGGTATAGGTTTAAATTAGTTTTGAAAGCTGAGATGTGGCAAAATGACAGTTGTTTACCTATTACACTTCTACGATGCATACAGTAAATACTATTCATTGTTAATTCCTCGATTGAATTCTACACTAATATTCTGACATATTATATTGTACTGTATTATATCTTTGACATATTGCTTAACCTTTCATTTAAAATAACAGGCTTTTATTTAACGTATAAAGTTTAATATAGTCCAAGATATTACTGATGACCTTTACAATCTTGGCCCATATGTAGTATATTTTGGCTTGAACAAAGAGACAATTATCAGTGGAGAAACAGGAAGTTAGCCATAATTCAAAACCACAGATTGTATAAAGAAGTGGACTAAACCACATCGCGTTCAGCTCCAGTCAAATTATATTCACGAGGCTCGTGGATATAGGGAGGAATTTAGAGCCAAAGTTCATACTTGGAATTCCAACTGCAAGTATCATAGCAACCAAAGAGCCAATCCGGAGTAAGGCTCTTGAACAAGGATCACCAAACTTTTTTCTCTGGGGGCCACATCATCGCACCTGACTGTGATGGGTCGGCCGTATAAGAGAAATGTATGACCCTGACGACGCAGATTATATTCTTTGAAAACCTCCACACTTTCTTTACATATCAAACAAACTGCACGGTCCTTACACTGAACTGTTCTTTGAAAACTCGGCACTCTCGTACTTCAACACTCGCCATTTTGCTGTCTTTAACTGCACTGCAGTACTCTGCCCGTGCCTTGACTGT